CACACAGTAGCTATCCACGCAAAAAAGGCTTCTCACCTCTCCGAGCCTCAGTTTCCTCACTCATTCCACAGGGATCAGGAATCACTCCTGCTTCATATCCTCCGGTGATTTTGAGGATGTGGTGAACTTACTACATCATGTATAAAAAGTACTTTCAAAAGCCCAGCCCCCCTCTCCACAGGGGAGGGCACATTATTACAAGGTTAAGGAGGGTGTGGGTGGGGAGGCAACAGAGGCACTGGGGAGCAGCATTACCCATTGAGAAAAGGCCATGCACGTTAACAAAGCAGCTCACAAATGAGAGCAAATTAATACCGGGCCCAGCGAGAACAGAACATTCACACCGCAGGGGCAAAGCACCCATTGGAGCAGCTAGGCCTTGGCAGGGAGAAGGATGTGGAATAGCAGAGGGAGGAAAGAGAGGGGCCAAGTGAGGGGGGTTTTCGGTGCTAGGGAGGCTTGCTCCGGCTCTGAGCAGAAAGGAAGCGGTTAGCTATGAAGGAGGGAAAGAGAATAGCAGCAAGTATCCCAGGTGGGCCTGGGGGTCAGTCAGGAACACCTGACAGTCCTTGAATGAGGAAACCAGTGGTGGCGGGGGTAATAGCAGGAAAGAGTATCCCTGCGACTTCAACACATGTGGCCTCATCCCCTGGCAGCTGGATCCAGGACACAGAGCAGAGGGTCACCAAGGCAGCTGGTCCCCTCCCGATCCTCTACCCCTGCTGCCTTCTTTTTCTTCATTCTGTGAAACAACCAGGGTCCACCTGACTCAGAAGCAGAAACTCAGGCACCAATTCAAAAAAGCCCTTGAAAAAACAAAACAATGACAATAACAACAAAAAATCCCCACAGAAAAGGCCCTTGGCAAATCTTCACAGAGAAACGACCTGCGAATGTGGAGGGGCATTGAACTAGAATGGAATCCTGGACTAGGGTGATATTGAAAATCTTGTATTGCCTATATGGTGGGTGCACTGACAAAGCAATGTTCTGGAAGTCCGCTATGGGGGCCAGACATTAACCCTTTAGTTGCCGGATCTGAAGCAGGGTGTGGAGGGAGGGAGTGCCGGGACTACTAGGGACACTCAGAGGGGTTTGAGGCAACAGTTGTTTACCCATCACTAAGTAAGGAATGTAAGATTTGAACAAGTGGGATGGTGATATAGGTGTTCATGGAGGAAATTCCAGCCCTGATCCTAGGGCAGATATAATTAGTCCTGGAGGGCACGGGGGTGTTCACAGGCAGCTAGCTACCACTGGGAGCCTGAGGGGTGCAAGAAGGAGTGGAGGCATTGAACAGATTATCCCTTTGCTCTCATAGCAAAGGGTCGGTCAGACACTGGCTGCACTGTTGAATAGCAGCACCAAGCCTGTGTCCATAGTGCCAGCCCTTCCTCTCTGTTTAACCCCCATGCATACACAGTGCCATGGCCCGAGTCCTGGAACCAGGGCCCAATCTTGGAGGAACATCAATCTATTCATGCCAGACAGCTTAGAATCTGAGCTTATTAAAACAGCAAGGAGCCCTTGAAATTGGCTAAGTCAGTGATCTCTTGATATATGGGGGAAACTGAGGCCTAGGAAGGGAAGGTGTGGGGTCATATCTCTAATTAGTGTAAGACCTGGGATGAGCAGCAAGATTTCCCTGTTCCCAGCCTGGTGTATTTTCTGTTGCCTTCTTTGCTATTATCTATCCCAAGTCTTCATTATATCTGAGGGAAAATGCCAGAATATCCTCAGTGCCAGCCTTACACATAGGTAAACATGATGTGATCAAATATGTCTCCTCAATTGCCTGTCATTGTGCCTGAAATTTCACCATTGGTGATTCATTCATTTGGATCTTGAAGCTTTCTGTTCTTTCAGGGAGCACAGACCACCTGACAACCACCGGGAGAAAGGCTTTGCAAATTAGACACAGGTTATACAGTGCAGGAGAGCAGTGGCAGCGAGGCCAGTGAAGAAGATGCAAGCCGAGGTAGGCATGGGAACTCAGGGCAAGACTGAATCCAGGATTCAGGCCACCCTGATGGGCAAGGAAGGAGTATTTGATACGCCTATACCCAAAGCTTCTAGCTTGGGCACTCTGAAAGCATTTCCCCAGGAGACTGCATGGTGACCTGGGAAGCCTGAATCACTGCTGTGTGGTCCATGCTGGGAAGAAGGGCGGGTGAGTGAAGGATAACATCAGTCTGTCTGGAGTGGCCGCAGTGGCACTTTATTAAGAGGAGCAGCCTGGGAGAGATGGATGTGACAAGGGAATCTATGAAGACATTGAAAGGAGCCTCAGCCACAAGAGGGATGGGCTCTGAAACTGCCAAGGGAGGCTGGATGTGGAGTCTGTCTGTTCTGCAGCTCCCCTAGGGACTTGCTGGCTTCAGGTGCCTTGGCTCAAGGCCGGGTGCTTTCTGTTGCTCCCTCTGACTTCCATTCTGGTTCTGCCCCAGAGCTGTGCAGTGCAACTCTGGGCTTGCCTGTGGTTCCCAGGTTCCTGAGCCTTTTCTGTTCTGCCGTCAATTCTAGAATTTTTATATCCTAGGGGCTTCAGGGGAAGCCCCTGAAAACTAGTAGGAAGGAGGAAGGGAACGGGGGAGACTAGCGGATTTGTCTGGAAACTGGTTTTGTCTGGCAAGACCCTATATTTCCTTACAGTGTGCATTTACTTGGGGTAGGAGAGGGTAGAGAAGAGTGCTTCTAGAAATTTGGAAAATTGTCTTGAAGCCACGTTTGTATAGAAAGCATAGAACTGTAATTTAGATGGTAGGTATACTTACAGTGGCTTATAGGGGGTAAGAAGAGCAAGCTAGAGACCTTGCCAAAGTCTACACTAGTTCTATTGTAGATCTCAGCTATCTGGGCAGAATACAGAACCCCCAGCTTCCAACAAAATAAAGCATCCACCCACATGGCCAACCTCTGCTGTCTGACATGAGCCCTGTGCTTTCTGAAGTGGGTGTCTCTGGAGGCCTCAAGTGGTTTCTACCCAGAAACCTGCAGTCCTTGAGTTGGATGGGCTAGAGTGGGAAGAGGAGATTGCCATTGCCAAAAATTTTAAACCCAGAGCCAAGACTGTTTTGCTGGTTCCATTCAAGTCCCCAAAACAATCTTTGAGGCTTAAGGCCAAGTCATCACTAACTCGTGTGTCATGGGCACTGCTGAGGGAGAACGGTATTTCACAGAGCAAAGACTCCCACCCAGGTGCGGGCTCAGTGATTCAAGGAAGATGAAATTTAGTGCAATCAATTTGGGAGAGTCAGCCAGGATTTCTTTTAAGCTTTACTTCCCAGCAGCCCCCTCCCACCTTGGAGACAGACTAATCCCTGACATTTGTCTAGTGGCTTTATACTTTTCAAAGTGCCTTCACATCCATTATCTCCATCGAGCCACACAAATGCTCCTGTGAAGTAGGATAAGAAGGTGTTATTATCCCTGTTTGAACAACAAGAAAACTGAGGTCCCCAAAGGAAACATGACTCATCCAGGGTCACACAGCTATTTAGTCAAAGGACTAAGTACTTCAAACGTGTTTTCTAACTTCCAGCCCTGTAATTTTTCCACCTCCATGCAGACTCCCCTCCACAAAACCACAGAGGTGCCCTGCTCCTTACACAGTGCTTAGCACAAAGTAGATGCTAGTAAATATTTGCTAAATGACCAGGAGGCAGAGGTTGCAGTGAGCCAAGATCGTGCCCCTACATGCCAGCCTTGGCAATAGAGCCAGACCTTGTCTCAAAATAAATAAACATATAAATATTTGCTAAATAAATGATTGCATGGATAAGTTGGGGCAAGGCAGGAAGCAATAGAAGTTCTAAAAGTGCTCTTTTTAAAATGATCAAATGAAGAAGGGGCAGGAAATGTTGTGTTATTTCACTATTTTGACCAGGAAGGAAGGAGTAAAACATCTTTCTCATTTCATAGATACTATTGCCAAGGTGTGAAGATTGGGATAGATCCCATGTGGAAGCCACAGAGCTTAATGTCCCAATAAGGCTGCCTTCCACTCATGCTTTATAGAGGTGGTGTGAGTCCTTACTACAGCAGCAGGAAGGAGTCAGAATCAGCCCCATGGGATGAGGATTCTCCCCACGTTGTCTCTGCAAGCCCTGTCTCACCACATGTCCCCTAACAGTGGCTCCCGAGGTTCTGCCATGGAAGAGGTGTCTAGGAACACTGGTTGCCCGCCCTTTTAGGGCGACTGACTGTCAACCCATTGACACTTCTAGCATAACCCAGACCTCAAAGACTCAGTGACTGTCTCCTGGAATGCCATCTGGACTGAGACTTCTTCCTTTTCCTTTTTCTGTCTCCCACAGGCCCTGGCACATAGTAGGTACATAATAAATGTAGGATGAATGAATTGTCTGAGGTGAAGAGGGATGGCCATTCTCTGGATGTAGACACTGCAGTCAGGATCCTGCCTGCCAGGGCTCCATCTCCAGGGGCAAACTGACTTGGAGTTGCCATTTGTTCTTAGTCCAGTCAGAAAAAAATGGGGAAACTGGAGGTAGGGACACAGGTATTCAAATGCTGCTTTGCAGTAGCACAAGGTGGCTTTTGAAGCAGGCAGCCTGGAATTTGAGATCCCTCGGGGTTTAAATCGGTACCCCCAGCTTGTACTGGGGGCTCCTTGCTTTGCTCCTGTGAGCCTCAATTTTATTTTCCGTACAGTGGAGAGGATGCTGGAATGAGAAAATGGATGTAAAGCACAGTGCCTGGCACTTAGTAAGTATGCAAGTGGCAGCTGGATTGTCCGCACATGTATGTCCTCCCATCCTCTCCCTCCCCAGCTCCCCTGAGTGGGCAGGTCCCCAGTGGAGAGAGGAGGGGTCCTCCTGGGGGCACCGACTGTCCCCGCGACTGCCCGATTGCAGGCGGGTGAGAGGCAGCAGACGCCGTGTTTACCAGCTCCTCGCTAGTTTGCCACCTCAGCCGCGGCTCTGGGGCTGAGCCAGTCGCCTCCTTCTTTAAGATTCTGGTCACATCAGGGGCTGGGTTTCTAAGGCAGGCGTGATCTTTCTCTTCCTACAGACGCCGCTGCTGCTACCTTCGGCTCTGGGCAGAGCCAGGGGCAGCGCGAGAGGGAGGCAGCGAGACAGTTCCTGGCTAGGCAGTAGCCCAGCCCGGGTCCGGAGGGGGCCCCGACAGTAAGTACTGCGCTCTGAGCAGCTGGGTTGGGGGGCGCCTGGCCTTTGACGCAGGGGTCTGTGGGGTTAGGGGGTCGGCAGTCGAGCGCTAGGGTCCTCACCAGCCCCTCAAAGTGACTTGGGGGCGGTGCTGGCAGGGGCCCCCTCCACCTGGTCTTTGAACTGAGTTGGCACTTCGGGAGCAGACATCCATCTCCATCCCTCACCCCGAGATCCCAAGGCATTGTTTGGGTCGCCTGGCAGCCCGCGGGCCCCTTCGAGGCCACGAAAGAGGAAACTGGAAGGCAAGATGCGCGGGGATGAGGTTTTGGACACTGTCGGAAAAGTGGCGGCGCGAGTGGGAAGTTTTCCGCTGGGGGGTGCGGGGGGATCGGGAAAAAAGGGGCGAGGAGAGCCAGAAGCTGGGAGGGAAACCACCCGAGTACAGTGGGGGAGGAGACCGCCCCTCTGAGTTCTCGGACCCTGCCCTTCCCGCCTTTACGCCTCGGAAGTGTCAGGGGCTTCTAGCTGTCTCTCCCACCCCAGCCTCTCAGCGCCTCTGCTTCCGCGGGGCCGGGATACCCTGGCTGGCCAGCTCTCCGGTGAGGCCGGTTGAAGCGTCAGCGTTCGCAAAGCTCCGCTTGGTGGAGAAGCAAGACCACCCTATGAGGTGGTGCACCAATCACAGAAAATGTTAGCAATCGGGAAAATGCAGGAACATACCTGTCACTTTCCTTTCTTAAGCTCTGTAAAGGAAAGGGGAGAGGGGGGCCTGAGGTCCTAAAGGCGAGCTTATCTTAACTCACTCCCTTCGTGGAGAACACCAGATCTTACTTCTGTTCTTCCACCCTCAGCCACTCATTTTACCTAGAGTACTGATGATCCTAGTAGCTGCTATTGTTATTATGTGCCCGACATTGTGCTAAGCTCTTTACGTAGTCCATGTACAGTGAGAACAGTAGCTGGCATTCACTCAGTGCTTTCTTTGTGCCAGGCACAGTTCTAAGTGCTTTACATGCATTGCCTTATTTAATCTTCACAACATCCCTATGGGATGGATGCTACACCCATTTTACAGATCGGGAAATTGAAGCGCAGAGAGGTCCACAAGCCCAAGGTCACACAGCAAGTGAGATGCAGACCTGGGATCTCAAACCAGTTTTACTTCAGCTCCCTCACTGTTAACTACTAGAAATATGATGAGAATTTGGCTTTAATTAAGTAGTAAAATTGAATTTGACTTCCCTACAGCAAAATATATTTATTCTGTAGATCTGAAGTCATGGCCCAGGTGCAGAGAGTTTTGAATCAATTTTTAAATCACCCCCATTACGTCCTGTGGAGAAAGGCAAGCCGAGTGTGCTATAACAAGACAGCAAAGTTTATTAGTAGGTGCCTAGCAATACTGATAACAATAATTGCTAATAGCCATTACTGATTGAGCACTTACTTTGCACCAGCACTTCATATGTATTTAATCTTCACGTAAGGTGCTTTAAAGTAGGCACCCCATGAACCCCATTTTATAGATGAAGGAACTGAGGCTCAAGAGGTTAAGCAATTTGCCACAGAGTTGGGATTCCAGCCCAGATCACTAACTCCAAAGCTCAAGTTGGAACTACCCTTTAGAAGATTTGTGCCTGTCACAGAGGCTTGTCTTCCCTACAGTCCTCTTCTCCCCCAAGCCAGTTGCCCAGAGCTCTACACTATGCTCTCTTTGCACTCAGGAAGTGATTGGACAGGTTGGCAGAGAGAGGGCTTCCTAGAGAAGATGGAGTGTTCTGCGTGGATTTCGGTTTTGTTGTTGTACTAAGTGCCGTGCCTGTAATATCAATACGTTGTTCTGCTTTACAAGTTTTATTAATTAGACAAGTGTCTGGTCTGCTGGCTTGGAGCTGTTAATCCGATATTATGGCTATACCTGAGTACCTTCATTAGGAATTATTTTCTGAAAAGTTTTTAGAGCCTTACTTGCAATCCTGGGCAAAGCCATCTTCTTACCCTCTAGGGTGAGAAAGGGGACTTGTTTCTAGGATAGGACTTGAAGAGCAAGAGCTGCAGCCCATCTATGAGTAATAGTATTGCTGTGCTCATTGATACTCGCCCCCCTCCTTCCAGCTTGACCTCTGTGAGCTGAAACCTGAAACCTGAAACCTGAAACCAGAATGTAGCCACGTCCCTCGGGGATGTTCCTGTGTCACATCTGGCTCTACAGTTGGGTTATTTATAGCTCCTCACTGCTGGCCCTGGCCCATTCATAGAGCTAGCTCCACATGGACCTTCTTCAGTGTGGGCATAATGGGGTATGTGAGCTTTATGACTTTGGTCTCTATTACTCTAGCTGGATCTCAATGTATCTGCTGGTGGTCCATCCTTTCTGGCTCCTCCCATGAGAGGGGGACCTTCCATGTGTAGCTTTGGGGTGATGCATTAGATATGTGGCTGACAAGTCCAGTGCTGGGCTCTGTCCCGGGTTGTCTCTGTGGCCTCTTCAGACTGCACTGTATCATTTCATAAGGTGACATGAAAGGAGTCAGTGTGTAGCATTAGTCCTCAAATTAAACATTCCCTTCAGTTTTTCCTGAATTTGTTCTATGATTTATTTTTATAACTGCAGTGACTTAAATACCTAGAGATTTCCCTCTTTACTGAATCTTCTTAATTTTTCCTTTGCTGTCAGGTTTGACATTGCTTTCCTGGAATGTCTTTCTCACCTTTGGTGAGAGGAGGGAGAGGTGGTCTTATACTGGGAGTCACAGCATGGTTGGGGGAATACCCTCTTCTGTGTTTACACAGCATCTTCTGATGCCCTCTGTGGTACCAGGTAACACATGGTTTTACATTCATCTGTTTACATACCTGCCTCACCTTAGACTACAACCTCCCTAAGCGGACAGACTGGGCCTTATTTATCTCCAAATCTCCAGTACTCATCACTATGCCAGGCACACAGTAGGTGCTCAGTAAACTTTTATTGCATATATGAATGAATGCTATCTAAAAGCTGGTAGAGGAAGCCCCTGATTCACAGTAAGGAACTCTGCTATTATTACCCTTATAAGAACGGAAAAATCAGAGCAGAGTTGGCATTCTTCTATAACAGAGAGCCTCAGCTCTGTGGATTTTAATTACTGAAAAAACAGCAGCAGCAGCAGCAACAACATCGTAATCCCCAAACCTGAATGCTGATGGAATGGATTTTCTGATTAATAGAATATTTCTAAGTAACTGAAGGTTGGGCCAAACAAAATCATTTTTCCTTACTCTTCTTGATTCTTCCTAAAATGCCTGGCTCTGCTTTTCTGCCTTAGTGAGTCAAGCCTGGGGTCCATCATCAAATCAGTGTTTCCATATAGAGAGCTTGTGGGTTCCCAGGATTCCCTAGGATTCTGTTTTCCCCAAGCCTGGTTGTATAGTAGGATCCAATCTTCTTACCCACCCACTCCCTGCCTGTCCCTGCTGCACCCAAAGACAAGCCCACAGGTGCTCTGAGGTTTGTAATTTCTCTGTCACTCACCTTCAGGAAACAGACAGGGGTTTCCCAGCTACCAGCGTGCGGGAGGTACAGAGTGTTTTGGTGCTAACTCACATACCCTCTTGTGTTAGTAGTTCAGAACAGCACATGCTCTTGCTCTTGGCTTTCATTCTTAGGTGGAAGGTTCACAAACTTCACTCCCCTTTTTTGACCTCTGTTTAAGAAAGACCTTATAATTCTTTCCTCCCTCTCAACAGGAAGATGCAATTAGGCAGAATAAAAGGTGTCTCATTGTCCTGAGGCTGCTGTTGGTGTTTCTGGATGCCTCCAGACAAGGTGACATTAGTTTACCAGGTCTCTATTCATGTACCTTCCTTTACTGAGTTTTTGGCCTAATTTTTGCCCTGTCTCTGGACTGTGCTCCTGATTGGACAATTCAGAGATGGTGCACTGAAGGGAGTCAGGAGTTGCTCCCTCACAGGAAGTCAACTTGGCTTGGCAAGTGCTGGGCATAAGTTCTTGGCTTCTGATACCACCTGCATCATCTCAGGCAGGCGGGGGGAGCAGATAGACATCTAGGCAAAGCATTGAGATAGATGTGCCATTCTCTGCCCAGCTCTGACTAGACTGGCCTGCCTCTCTCTTCACAAGCTTCCCAAAGGAGCATGGGAGTTGGGGGTGGAGGGTAGAACCCAGAGTCCGAACAGAGCTAGACATGCGAGAGGGAGTGAGGGAAAGGCCTACTCACTGTCTATGCTGGGTCAGCTATGCTGCTTGCTTCCCAAGTAATATCTCCCCAGCAACTCCCTCATCTACTCAGGCTATTGTGTTAATGCCTCGTGCCACATACGCACGTTCCCTTCTGTCTCTGGGCCTGTTCTCAGTGCCCTCCCTCTCCACTTGCTCAAATCTGGCCCTTCCTGCAGTACCCAGCTGCAGTCATCTTCTAGAAAGCTTCCCCCTGCTGCTTCTGGAAATCAGCAGAGAGTGGACAAGGGGGAAGTCAATAAACTCCAAGCTCCCTGCCAACTCTGAGATTCTCCAGGAGTTTGATGAACGTCAGGGGCTGGGGCCTTGGAAGGCTGGTGGCCCAGGCCATCGATGCCTAGCAACCTCACAGGAAGGAGGGAGATGGCACAGCCAGCCAGCTGAGTAGGCCCACATTTGGCTTCAGGAGGTTTTGCCCAGAGCCCTGTGCAGCAGGCACCTGCCAAACAGCCCCCAGAGGAGTGCTATTTGAGCTCCGGGTGTTTAGCTACCTGTTGGGAAGTTCCCAGAAGCTCCTGCCCACACCTGCTCCCCCTGTCTGCCCTCCAAGGTTTGTTTACAGTTCAGCCTTTGGCAGGCTAAAGTCTGAGATCCAAGAGGAGAGAGAGATCTGGGTGGCCAGGGACCCTTTTCTGGCTTAGCATTCTGTGCCAGCGTTCTGCAGCCCAGCCTGGCCTCAGAGAGACGTGTTCACTGAGGGGAAGAATTCAGGCCTGCTGGTCTTTTTCCTGCCAACTCCACTTTGCCTAACATGACCATTCCCTCCCACTTTCTGGAA